AATATTGGAACCAAGGAGATAAAACAACGAAAATAGATAAAGGTCAAAACATGAAAGGCGTGATATGGTTTTCCAAGACTTTTAACATGTATCGTGTCATCAGCAGCAAAGGACCATTCAGGACAGAACATTTACATTCCTGTCTTACTCTAGTAGCACTAGAATGGAAACCAGATTGTGATAATAAAAAATCAGAAGTTGTTTTAGTAATCTGCGTGAGAAATGAAGTGAACTTGGGATAAACTAATGACATTGTGGCTATTTTGTATAGAGAAGGTATAGGATTTGGGAAGTAATTATATGACAGGTCAGAGGAAAGACTTGTGGTCTCTGATTTGGGAAATACTATGGTGCAAGTCAATGTGGTAGAAGAGCCAAAGAGAAATGAAATTTTGTTTATAAGACTCAAGAGAGAGGCCACGGTAGGCCTGGGAGGAGCACATCAAGAAGCTAAATGGATCTTCCCATAAACCATGCAAACCAGGCAGCACCCAGGAAGAAGCCAGTTCACTTTTCCCGTGCGTCTATGTGAGCTGAGAATCAAGAATTCCCGAACTCCTAAGCAACCAGCTGATTCACTGCACAGAATGAGTTGATAGCAAACATACAAGAACAGCTAAATGATTGTGTTGTTGATTGGTGTTGTAGGCCTAAGGCCGGTGGTCTGAGCGCTTATCGGGAGGATAACAGTATGCAGTGTGGCAAATATGGGGGATTTCCTTCTGTCTTGGTTTTGAAATCCAATATTGTTCTCACTGTTTTGTTTTGTTCCAATTTATTGTTTTGTTCATTGCTCTGATTGATTTTATTCTGTTTTGTTTTATTTGATTTTACTGTGTCTGGGAAATTGACAGCTATTGTGAAGATAACATATATTTTGGTAGCCATTGTTGATGACCTGTTGTCCTGATTTGAGGTTCTGTACCAGTTGCACTGCTTTGTTTTGACTGGCTTTATTCCATTTTGTATTGTTAGTTTTTATTCTTCTTAAGAAAAGACTCAGAATAATAAAATAATTGTTTCTCAGTGATTATGAATTAAATCATCCTTTTTTAAAGATTCAACTATCATAGTTATCTACTTAACATAGTAGTATTTTTTAGGTTCTTTACCCCCAAACTAGCATGTACTACTTCATAAGATGGTAAAAATTTTTAAGAGTAAGCACCATGTCTGAATCATCTCTCTCTGTCCCTCTCCCTGCCTCCAATAGTGTCTTTTTACACAAAAGATACTCAGTATTTGTTGAAAATTAACTTGTCCCCCATATTAAATGAAAATGTTTTGAGAAAAGTTGCGTTGGCATTCTTGAGTAACTAGTTATTATAATAATAATTTGGTGAATATTAAATTCAAGTTCATTGTATGCTGAGAAAATTATACATATCTTTTGATAAAATGATCAATTTTATAATTTTAAGTGTTACAAATTAGGATATCTAGAAAATGTAAGGCATTTGTGGCCTTTTTAAAGGTCTAAAACTGAATATAGAACATAAAAGTATAGAACTTTTGGAAGAAAACAAAAATATTTGTAAACTTGCACAGACAAATTTTCTTGGGCCCAGAAAGCATAACCTGTAAAATCACAACTGGGAAAAATTATTTGTGAATCTCAAGCCTGATAAAAGAGTTGCCTAGCAGAACATAGATTTTATAAATAGCTCTTAGAATTTCATCAGAAACTCCTAATAAAAGAGAAAAACAATAATAATAAAAATGGACAACAATTTGAACAGATGGTTTTGAAAGAAGATAAATGAATGTCAAATAAATTGATGAAAAGATGTTCAACATGATTAGTCTTCAGAGAAATGCTCATTAAAAACCTAATTTAATATTTCTTTACATCAATTCTAAACTACACTTAAATGATGATTCCAGGTATTGATGAGGTTGTAAAGCTGCTGGAACCCTCATACTTTGTTGATAGGAATGTAAAATGATACAGTCACTTTGGAAATTAGTTTGCCAGTTTCTTTTAGGTAAAAATATACTTCTAATATCCACTAGTTCTGTTTTCTCAAGAAATGAGAAACTCAGGTCAATTTTTCAGAAAAAATATTACTACTGTATTTATTGTGCTGCTTTATTTATAATTACTAAAACTCGAAATAACCTAAGTATTCATCAGCATATGAGTAGCTAAATAAATTGTTATATCCCTAAATGAAACTCTGCAATAAATAAAATGAGCAAAATACTTCCGCCAACAGCATGGGTGAATGTCAACAATGTTCAGTGAAAGAAGCCAGACAAAAAATGGTATGTTAGGGCTGGAGATTTAGCTCAGTGGCACAGGTGCCTGCTTGGCAAGTGCAAGGTTGTGACTTTGATCCCCCCCCACACAATCAATCAATCAATAAATAAATAAAATATGTTACGAACCAAGGATCGTAATATAGCTCAGTAACCTAAGTGTCTCTGCTTGGCAAGCACAAGGTCCTGAGTTTGATTCCTGGTTCCCTGCCCCAATGGTATATTATGTGTAATTTCATTTATGTGAGGTCCTACTACAGGTAAAATGAGTACTTTTGACAGAAAGCAAATCATTAGTTGTCTGGAGTGAGGCACTGATTGTAATGTGCACAAAGTGGCATTTTTGGATTCTAGAAATGTTCTGTATTTGATTTTTTTGAGTGGTTCCACAGGTGCATACACTTGTCAAAACATATCATACTGTATTTTTTACATGGGTACATTTTATTATATGTAAATTATACCTCTGTAGTTTCCTTTATGGTTTGGTCTTCTCTCTCTTTTTCTCTTAAATTAAGATGTTCTCTATTATTCTAAACTGATCATACCATTTGTTTGGTCTCTTAATCCTTCTTTCATTTGTCACCTTGTCTTCCACTACACCAGTGATGGTGATCCTTTCAGAGACTGAGTACACAAACTGCAACCCAAAATCCCACTTATTCATCACAAAGTGCTAGCACTGCAATTAACCTGAATAATGAGGCTTAAATTGAGAAGAAAATAACTCACACATTAACATCTTTATCTTGAAAGAATAACAAAGTAAGGAAGCTTTTATTGACACAAACAGCCTTTTATTGAAAGATAAAAATTTGCATTTGGTTTGCTTTGTACAATTAATGTGATCTTGGCTGTTGTATGCAAGATGTTAATTTGTCAAACCTTGGCTGGGGTGACTTCGCTCCTGTGCCAACAGAAAGGGCTGTGTGTGCCTGCATCACTATGCTAGGCTATAAGCTGTTGCTTGTCTTTGTTTACCCTCTAGAACCTTGTTTTTTATAATCTTTCAGTAGTTGTTTATTAAATGAGTTAATAAGAAAGAATCATAATCCTAGGTATTACCAAGACCAATGTGATAGCCATGTGTGGTGGCATACACCTGTAATCTCAGCTACTCTAGAGGCTCAGAATGGGAAGATTTCCAGTTCAAAACCAGCTCAAGCAGTTTAGGGAGACTCTGCCTCAAAATTTAAAAAGGTAAAAGAGATGGGAAATGTAGTCCAGTGTTAGATCATTTGTCTAGCATGTATGTGGCCCTGGAGTCAATCCCCAGTACTACAGGAAAAAGACTAGTCTACAAAGCAGCTAATAATTGATAATATAAATCCTTGAGTAGTTATAATTATATACTTTAGACAGTTCTGTTGTATTTTCTATTGCATTCAATGGTAGATACATGGAAGATGATTTCTCCCGGGCTTTGTAGGAAGTTACATTTGAGGCAAGGCACTGTGTATTGGTTGCAAAGGACTGAAACATTTAGGTACTTTGAACTGACAATGTGTTTGAATCTAGCAACGAAAGAAAATTAGAATTAGAAACCTAGTGCTAAAGGTTTGTGATGCCCTTTTATCTAACTCATTATTACACTATAGCCAAACACTTCCCCCTTTTATAGCTTTACAATTGTAATTTTAGATTAACAATAATCAATGTTATCTTGATATTTAGCCTCCACTCTTTGCTCCTTTATTTCACTTTTTTGGTGTGTGTGTGTGTGTGTTCCTGTTTGGTTTTTTGTGGGGCAATGGATTTGTTTGTTTTTTGCAGTAATGGAGAGAAAACCCAAAGTGCTTTACCACTAGGCTGTATTCTTAGTCTTTTTAAAATTTTTATTTTGTGATAGGGTCTTCTTGCTGCATTATCTAGTAATCAAGTGTATGATTTTTCTGCCTCTCCTCCCCACTGCTACCAGTAGTTGAATTATAAGTATGCAGCACCACACCGAGCTCAGTGTTTGTTTGTTTGATTTTGCTTTGTTTTTTAGTTATAATGAAAGTCACCGAGCAAGGAAATCTAGTGGACAGAATTAATTTCAATGTTGGAAAGACAAACTTCACCAGCTTAGGTCTGAATTGGGACCTGAAAGTTTACTGACAGTGCACACATGAACTGATGAGATTTACATTGGTGGAAGAGCTCAGTAATGACTTAACTCATTGAAGAGTTTAGGGGGCATAGTGGTTTCTAGAACAGCTTAACAAAAGGAGAGGTAGAGAGTCAGAGGACAAAAGGTTCCACTGAGGCTTGTTTACATAGTTTTTTGGAGTGTCCCAGGGCCCAAAGTCAGTCACCTCATTATCTCCATGCCTAGAGACCCCTGCAGGGAGTAGGAGTGTTGGGAAACCTACCTGTCACTAAAACTCTGCTTGGTCAAATAAGGAAGTTCAGATAAGACTTAATTGTTCATCTGGTACTGGGGTTTTGGTCCTTTCACTATTTTTTAAATACCTGTACATAATTTGATGATTTTCAAAGCATTTTCAGATACCTCATTTAATTCACAATACTTTGTAGAGCAGGTAAATAACTATTATCCCCATTTCACAGGTAAGAAAAGTGAGGCTCAGAGAGAGGTTAAGTATTCATTGAGAGCCATACAATTGAAAAGAGAGCTAAATTAAAGTTTATTTAGCATTTCTTACTACAATTAGATTCAATTTGAGTACTAACAAATTGAATAATTTATTATCAATCTGTAAGTGCTAATGTTTAATAACATTTGTTTTATTTTATAGGAGAAGATGATGTACACTGGTTCATCAGTGACAAAGATGTGGAGGTAAAATCAAATTGCTTTTGAAACTCTTAATGGATTTATGCTTTTTTGATACATAATTTGCTTTTATTTCATTTATAATGACTTGGAATAAACTTTTTTTAAAATAGAAGTGATCCCAATGACATTATTGAAAACTTGATTTCAGTATGTAAGTGATTTAACTGAAATTTAATTTAGTCTTGATATTTGTCAGCCAATTAATAGTCATAATGACTTAGTTCCCTTTTCCCTTTTCTCTGATCTCAGCCTTGATAGCCCATATGGCCTGGTACAACCAAAGATCAACACCGGAAATAACTGCTTCTTCAGTATAAGGAAATGGTTAGTCTATATTTAGAATGTGGCAGATGCTATAAGAAAGAATAATTTACAACTTGATAGAAGTTTTAAGAAATAACTAGATTTGGAATAACTGGTCCACTTACCCAGTTCAGAAAAAAAAGGTGACTCTTTTTTAAAGAAGGAACTCTGCCAAACAAGATAAAAGCATAATTGTGATTTACATATACTTTAGGTAGCCTATATGATAGATATTACTACTATCCTCTTGTACATATTAGAAGTTGACTAGACTATGAGACCACTAGCATTGCATCACTGTGTAGCAGAATTAATTTTTTAAAAAATTCTGGTGAGAAGAAATTATCTCAATCCCTTTTTGAAATTATAATCCTGTCTGGTAGGCAGTAATGGTAAATCTGTGCTGTTTACAAGAAAGGATGCATCTGGTAGTTATGTGGTTCTATTATAAAAGACAAACACCATTCTCTAAAAATTAAAGCAAACATCTCGTTCAGAATAAATGATGTAAAATTACATGTAGGAATCAGCAATAATTTTTGGCTCTGAATGCCACCACAATGTCTAAATAAATGATCTATATTAATACCCCTGCTAGACCTGAAGCATAAGTTGAAAGAGAAGAAATGGACAAGTATAAAAGAAGGAACAGACATAAATTATTAGAGCAGTCTGTATGTCTCCTTTTATGTTTTTGTGTCTCTTTTCAAGAAAATGAGAATTCAGGAAGCTCTTTGTTGCGTTTAAAGAGTTAAGAGCCTTAATTTTCTTGCCTTATAAAGTAATAGCACTGACCTGAAGTTGGATGTTTCTTTACTCAAGAGATAGTTATCTTTAAAAAAAATGAATAGGTGGTTTATATTAATCAGAGTGAAACTTACTTAAATTCTTGATTTTCTCACCTTTAGGCCCAGATAGGTAATAACAGATCATCTGGAAGATGGACCCGTCGATACTATTCAGCTGACAAAAACGTTACCTGTAGGAATTGTGATAAATGTGGTCATCTATCAAAAAATTGCCCCTTACCACAAGTACGTGAAACTCTTAATACTTCTTTCTGTTGTTAAAATCAAAATCTTAAGGTTAGAACCCCATAACCTTAAATTTAAGTCTTTTCTAAATATGTGTTAAATTTCATGTATCTCAGTAGAGGGTGAGGGAAAAAACAATATATTTAGCATCAGAAAAATCTGTAATTAATTTCAGCTTCCCATTATTAATTGTATGACCTTGGACAAACCATCTATTTCTCATTCTTTTGTATATAAAATAATATTGAATAATACTATTCTTGAGACCCTTTTCACCTCTTAAACTACCTCATTTATGAGATAGTTTGTTTCACTGTGGGACAAGTTTCATTGTTAGTTAGAGAATAATAATTTTAGTCATTTATAAATTTTTAATGTAGTAGGAGCAACATAGAGAGCTAAACCTGTTAGATATTCCCTAAACTTTAAAGACACATATTCCATTACCTGTTCTCCTCCATATGACTATCTTACAGATAGCCAAGACTGTTCATGTTTCCTCTGTTTTTTTATTCTGTTGGCAAAACAGCCTCTTCTGGTATCTGTTTCTCCTACAATTTAGCTTTAGATATACTCTCATCCAAAATAGATATCTTCTATTTTGTGAATGTTTCTGCAAAATAAGACAAGAAATGAATGCCCATTGATAGTACATGTAATTTATAAAACTGATCTTAAAGCTATAATTTCAGACAGTTTGTTTGATTTTGCACTTATGCTGAATGTTTATGATTGGCCTTCATTGGATTCTCAAATTAATATGACATTTTATGGAATTCTATAGAAAAAGGAGTCTTAATCTTTCACCATTTGAGACTGAACTATTTTGCTAAAGAGATTTTGTTTGTCTACCACACAGAAAGTCCGTGCCTGCTGCCTCTGCTCTGAGAGAGGACACCTCCAGTATTCCTGTCCGGCCCGCTTTTGCTTAGACTGTTCTTTGCCAATGTCTTCCACTCACAGATGTCTTGAAAGATCTTCCTGGAGAAAACGATGTGACCGATGTGATATGATAGGCCACTATGCTGATGTGAGTGTCTTACATATAGCTAATTTGTCAGCCTTTGGGGCCACTTTGTCACTTTGTAGCTATCTGTCTGCCTAGCTAAAAGAATGTTTACTCTGCATTGTGTAGAATGATAGTCATATTCCTTTGGCCACTGACCATGTAAAGCAGTGCTACTCTAAATCTCAGAATGGGAGCCGTATGGAATAGTTTATCAAGAGGCAGCATCAGCAAATACTGTAAGCCCATGTAAGCCCCTTTGCTTGATTTCCTTGCCAAATAATGCTTGATATTAAAGAGGTATATAAAAGTTATATTTATATTTATGCATGTTTAAATGAAAATATATGCAGTTATATGTTAGAGCTCATATAAAGCCTGATTTGATATTGCTCATTGATGATTTTTCCTGGTAATAATAGTCTTAGGCAGAAAAGACAGACCATCCCATATTTTAAATATGCTTATTTTATTGGCACTTTTTTTTTTTAGATTTAAGAAGCAAAGTAATTTAGAAGATACTCTGGTTGCAGCACATTAGAAATGTTTTGTTGGACATTGTTATAAATGTGTATAGGCTGAGAAGGACAGTTTTAATGACAGTTTCAGAGACCGGAGGGCCGTTAAACTAAGTAGATACAGCTCTTGATGTGGAATAGTTTTCTACTTTCAATTTACCCCCAAGTCCTAATGAATATCTCATTAAGGGTCTGTCATTTTAGCTCTTAATTGCATCCCTTACTACATAGTAACATATGTTTGTTTTGTATTAACAGCTAATCAGTTCAAAGTCATTTTTCATACTCATACCTGGGTGCCAATCCTAATTGGTATAAGGAATATTTATGAAAGGATTAACTCTCCCTTTTCAAGCATTACTTATCCATTAAAAAATTCATAATGTTCTCTTTAATGTGTACTTTCCAAAGACATGATCAAAAAGCACCATCATTTTTCTAATTTTGTTTATATTGAAGTATACCTATAGCCTTCTGCTCAAAAAAAATAATAGGCTCTGTTAGAATGAATTTCAGATTAAAGCAATTTAGAGTACAAGTGTTTGGAATATGTTTCACATATAATTAATATGTCAATTATTGATGGTAATTCTGCCAGTAAATTTCTGTTTAGCTTTTTACTTATTTTTTAAAAACAAACTATGTTATAGTAAATACCTTTTATATATATGTATGTGTGTTTATATATCAGTCTGCATATTTGTGTTATAATAGGTCAGACTTTGTGGAATTGTGAAATTAATAAATACATACATACCTTTATGTCTGAATAAATATTACTAGATTGCTCTTCTAAAAACTTTGTACCAACATATTCACCTGCCATTAGTGTTGATAAGTATAGTGCCCTCTTGTCCTCATTTGCCATGGCTGCTTCCAAATTTTGATTCCTCCCCCTTTATACAGATACTTTTGGTTTATTTAAGGATCATAGTCTCTGACAATACTTTCTTTGTTGTTTTCATTTTTTTTTTGTCTTTAAATTTTTAAATGAACTTTCTACTCATTCACAGAGGACTTCTAAAACCCTGAGTAACTATCAGTGCTGTAACCTTCTATAAATCAAGGAGATCAAAAATCTTTTACTTTGTATGTGCCCAAAGCTACAACATGGGCCTTTGTTTTGTTAGGGTACCAGATAAGTATATGCAAAGAGAATTTGTAATGAAAACTGAAGTGTCATAGTGAAATCCTTATTTCAGTGAAAGGTTCTTTCATGAAAACGTCTTGGAAAGTGTATTGGTTAGCTACTTGTGCAAAAATATTTGGTTGAAATTCCAGAGTTTTACAAGGAAAAGGATGGAAATATGGCCCTGGGCGTACTAAAGTCAACCTATATCATTAGTACTTTCAGTAGTAAGAATCTAAAGTGTGAAAAGAATTCCATTGCTGAATCTGCTGTAGATTTTCTCCTTTTGTCAACAGTTAAGTATGCAGAGAATCCTCTAAGGTGTATCTGTATTTAGGTTGCACACAGAGTTCCACTGTGTACTGTAAGCACTGTGCTAGAGTCAGAGAATGCTTTGTTCACTATCATTGTATAGTAGATGCTTAATAGATACTTGTAACTGAGGCAGTCATTTATTTAATCCTCACAATCCACACGAAATAGGTGTTATTTATTGCTTCTATTTCACGAAGAAGAAAACTGACATATCCTGTGGTTAGCTTTGCTTAGAATATTGAAGCCAAAACAATGCAATATTTCATAAATGTACATGGAGAAAGCTAATATATTGACATGTAGGAATTATCACTTTAATTTCTGCTCAAAGAATCTCTCATTTCATTTTTTTCTTTCCAGTTTTTTATTAGCATATATTTGTAATGCATAATAAATGCATTCATTATGGAGAATTAGTGTATACACATATGACATCTTGATCCATTTTACTTTTTTAGCTCCCTCTCTCAAATCTCTCTTTGTCCTCACCCCATCTCCACACAGTATGTCTCCCTATTTCCTGTCATCTATCTTTTAGTTGCTCTTTACAGGATTTGGGTTTCTCATGAGAAACCATGTGATTCTTAAGCTTCTGGGCTTCTGATTTGTTTCACTTAGCATTATGTTCTCAAGATACATTCATTTTTCTACAGATTACTCAAATTTATCCTTTTTTCTATATTCCCTTGTATGTAAATACCACATTTTATTTATCCATTCATCTGTTGATGGGCATATAGGCTGCTTCTAAGACTTAGCTATTATGAATTGTATGTTATAACCATGAGGATGTAGCTATCACTGTAATGATACCTAGATCTTTTAGGAAGACACCCAAAAAAAGATAGAACTGGATGAGGTGAAATTTCTTTCAGTTTTTGATTTCTTGAGGTATTATTCCTGTAGTGATTTCTATAGTAGCTGCACGTGTGTACATTCCCACCAACAATGCAGAAGTGTTCCTTTTTCTCTCCAGGTTCTCTGGAATGTGTTGTTTTTGGAGTCCTTTAAAATAACAGTTCTTTCTGGAGTAACATGGAATCTCAAGTGTTGTTTTGATTTGCATTCTCAAATTTGTATCTGTAGACATTAGTGGTTCCCGTAACTTTGGTGATTATCTCATTTTATTTAAAATACTTATTTTATAAAACGCATTAAAAAACAAAATACATGAGGAATAACATTTTCCAAGTAAAAATAAATGATGGGGGTTTTTGCTTATTAAAGAACTGAGGCTGATTTTCAGTCCTAGAACCAGTTCTGTCGTACTGCTTACAGAAGACCATCTCAACTTCTGCAGTCTTCATTAATTGTTGAGATTGCTACCTTTTTCATTAAAGCATAATGACTAAGTTAAAGTCAAATATGGGTGGAACTCAATTTCCTAAATTCTATTCCTTTCTTCAGCAAGTTTTTCTCAAATTCCTGGCTTGGTGTTTTACCTTTAAATAGCTCCTTTAACTTGACTATCGTGTTCAAAAATAAAATGCCATCTTCTTTTGAGTAGCTTAGCTTTTAAATCAGATGTTTTAGTCTACTGAGAGAAAATAATTCATAAGACATATTTTTTTTAAAAAAAGCTAAAAAAAAGTGCTGGAGGTTTAGCTCAGCAGCGCAAGTGCCGGCTTGACAAACTTGAAGTCATTCCAGCACCACCAAAAAAAAAAAAAAAAAAAAAAACCTAAGATATTTCTCTTGAACTTTTTATCTGATGATGAGGAAAATGCTCTCATTAGCTGTATACTAAAATACCATGGATTGGGCATGCAGCTCAGAGATACAGAGTTTTTCTAGCATATCTGAGGATTTAGATTCACTCCCTAGCACCAAAAATGAAAAAAAAGTGTCTTTTACTTTCTTAAAGTTCATTTTAATCTTAGAGATTTCTGTTAGAAAATGCAAAACCAGAGTATAATTTTATACTTACCTAAGATAGAATTTGGCTTTTGTTTTTGTCCAGGGTAAGGGTAAGGCTTCTGTTTTTTTTTTTTTTTTTTAGTCTATTCCAGAAACTATTTACATTCCTTCCTATCTTTTCCACAGTCTTTTCGAGATGATACTGGCCAGAAATACAAATGACCGAAAAACAATTATTGAGCTAAATTCCAAACCAAGATTTCAACGAAAAACTTCTTTAATTCAAATATTTTGCTTTGTATAATAATGATTAGTTCTGTGTTCAAACACATGCCCAATGTTTCACCACCCAAATAAACTTAACACATTTATTCACTTACCAAAATTTGCTGTTTGCTTAATTCCTGGTATATTCCACATACCAAAAAAAAAAAAAAAGACAAGACAGGGTCCTTGCCCTTGTGGACATTAGAAAGATGAACGTGTTTAGAACAGTGTAAAAAAAAGTATCATGAAAGTACATTGTGGTGCTCATAATGAGATAAGTATAAGAAGACCTTAATTGTAGTGATTTGCTGATGATATGTACTAGGAAAATAAAGAAAATGATGTAGACCTAAGGAGTAAAACCCAAGTAACTGCAATAAATATCACTTGTCTTTGGAAGTATCAGTTACAAAGTAATGTTATGGGAACTCTTGACCCAGGTTGAGTTTTCTTATAATTAAATGGATTTCGAATGTCTATAAAGGTCCATGTTTTCTGAACACTTGTCAATTTGCCTGCCTTTGAAGACAGTGCAGCTTAAAGAAGAAAATCTTTAGTTATTCCTAGAGTATTTCTTAATTCTTACTCTACATCTCTTCTAAGAAAGGCTACTTTTATGTTGTATCATAGGTTTTAATACATGTTTTAACTCTGGGGAAAAAATGATTTAAAGAATCCAACGACTTACTATTGTCTCTGACACTTGCATCTTGGCACAAACCATGAGTATTAACTGCACGAATTATTACAAGCAATTTTCATACTTCCTTGCCCTTACAGTTTCTGTTATCAGAAAGTAGCTAAGTAATCAGATATCGCAGATTATCTCCCAGATTATATCCCAAATCCTGATTTTGCGTCTCTTATAGTAAAAGCTAAAATCCTTATATTGGCCAGCAAGACCACATGTAATCTGGCTTCTTGATAATATCTCTTCT